ACCCACACCCCAGTGAGTCCCCAGCACCCACACCCCAGTGAGTCCCCTGCACCCACACCCCAGTGAGTCGCCTGTACTCTGTAGTCACAGCTGCTGCTTGTCCTTCCCCACCTGGGATCCTTGGAACAGGGAGTGGTTGGTTCTCTTTTATGCCCTGAGGCACCAAGCACAGGCCTTGCTCTTAGCAGCCACCACCCCAGTGATGGAGCTGATTGCCTATGCACACTGGCCTCCAGCCTCCACCCTGGCCCAGAGCTGCCTCTAGGCCCTGAGCAGCAGATCCCAGCCTGCCGGCGCCTAGGGCTAGGTCTCCAGCCGTCAGGACTGAGCTGCTACCAGCTGCTGGCTGGTTCCCTCTGGCTGGGAAGGTGTGGGGCGAAGGGGGCGCCTATATCTTCTTCAGCTGTTCCTGTGTCCCCATTGGCAGCATCTCCACACCTTCCCTTGTGATGCCTCCGACCAGATCAGACCAGACAGATCAGACCAGACGTGTGGGAGCCCCCCCGCCCACTCCCCCAGGGCCCTGGGCTCATCTGCCTGCCCCTTCTGCCTCCGCATTGAAGAGTGCGCTCTCCAGCCAGGGATGGGTGTATGGTGATGCTGGGGAATGGACACCTGAGAAATTCTGGAGTGTGCGTCAAGTCAAAATAGCAGCTCTCAGGATCTTGGGTTTTTGTTTCCAGAAACCTGATCTGATCTTTATAAAAAGTGCTCCTCCTCCATGCAGTCAGCATGAGTCTCCCTGCCATCCAGTCCAGCAGCACTGTCGGACTCCCTGAAGAGAGGCTGAAACCAGAGAGGCCCTGGGAAGGCTCCTGTGGTGCAGGTGGCAGCAGAGAAGACAGCTCTCAGTTCCCGCCCTCATCCTAGTGTTTAGCAGACTGCCTCACACCACAGCTTTCCATTTTAACCCTTGCGTTAAGAGAAAAGCTGGAATAAAACACTTCTAATGTTGCTTGAAAATTCAGCCCTGGCCACCAAAGGCTTATGGGGCTCCCACGTCTCTCCTGTCCCATGGGTGCATTTCCTGGCGTTTGTTGTAACCTGCCTGCGCCGTTGGTGTGTGACTGAACTGAAGCTGTGTTTAGGAAACCCAGGTGCGAGGCCTCTGCGGGGCCTGGCCTGTTCCTGGTCCCGTGTGTGGAGTCACATCTCTGGCAAGGGCTGCTTTTGAGGAGCTAAGGCTTCTGAGCTCCTCCAGGCGGGCGTAGGGAGGCAGGTCCTGCTGTCAGCCAAGCTGCAGGGTTGTTAAGAGGAAAGCAGGGACTGCGTACTGTGGGCTCACAACTGTAATCCCAGCACTTGGGAGGCCAAGCAGGAGGGTAACTTTAGCCCAGAAGTTTGAGAACAGCCTTGGTCCTGTCTCTACAAAAAAGTGTAAAAACTAGCCAGGCATGGTGGCCCATGCCTGTAGTCCTGGCTACTTGGGAGACTGAGGTGGGAGGATTGCTTGAGTCCAGGAGGTCGAGACTGCAGTAAGCTGTGATGGTGCCACTACACTCCAGCCTGGGCCACAGAACAAGACCATGTATCAAAAAGAAAAAGTCACTGTGGAAGGGCCTCCAGTCCCCTGACCAGGACTGTAGGGGCTGCTGCTCCAGCCCAGCCTTCTGCATGTGCTGAGATATGAGCAGTATTCAGCCCTGGAGATCCTTACCCCTTCTCTGTAGAACGAGGATTCGGGCTGCCAGGGACTGGGATCTGAGCATGTTGCTGGCCTGTGTGTGTGTGTTTCCTGGAATAACGGCCCTACAGTCTTTGTCAGGCTCTGCAGTTGGAATGAGACCAAAGAGTCAGAATTTGGATGTGGAGAAATGTGGAGTAGGGCGGGAACCTCCTTCCTAGGAAGGAACCTGCGACCCTGCCTGGAGGTCCCAGGTTCCCATAGGGCCTCGGGCGTGGGGTTAGAGGGGCTCTGGGACCGGGACTCTGTCCTGTCTTCAGCCTGGGTCTCTTGAGTTCAGGGAGTTTGAACTTGGGTGGAGAATAAACTCCTGTGTGTTTTCACTAGCCTCCAGCTGACACAAGCTTCTGCAGACCCAGCGGTGGCGGGTGTGGGTGCTCCCTGTGCCATCCATTGGGGACACTTCACACGTCACTTGCGCTCAACCCATGTCACAGCTGCAGGAGCCGTCAGACCCTGCTGGTTTAATCATTGGATGCAGCGCTGAGGCACAGATGGCGCTGTTATAAAAACTCGGAAGCCTACGCCTGCCTACATCTGCTTGTGTCTCTCTGTGCCTGTGCATCCGGCCTCATTCATTTCAAGCATCCTTCTGAGAAGAGGCCACAGGCAGGTGCCACCTATTGCCACGGCATCACTGCTGGAAGTGTCCCATGCTCTGCTGGGGCGGGGCGGCCGCTCTCCCTGTCCTCCAGGAGCTCACGTGTGCCTGCCTGTGAGCGCCTCGACGACAGAGCCGGCGCCCGTCCCAGTGTCCGCGCCTGGACGGCAGAGTGGCCAGTTCGCCATGGAGATGTTGCTGTACTTTGTAGCAATTCCTGGGCTTCATCAAAGCAGCGGCTTCCGGACTCAGATGCGTAGGTCACCTGAGATATTGTGTTTTAATCGGTATCAATGTAGAAGGGGAGATCATGTGGTGATCCACTGCTGTCCTAGCGAGGAAGTAACTGGGTCTCATGCACATACTAGTTTAACCGCTGTGCTGTCGGGAGAGGGAGGGCAGGATTTGAGAGCTTGTGAGTTTTGTGAAGTAACAGTCGATCAATCCCCTGTGTCATTCTGATCAGTAAGAAGACCCCATTGACGCTATTGGTCAAGGGACTGTCATTTCAGAGTCTGGATCCGAATGTGGCCCTGGCTGCTCTCTGAGGGTTGTCCTGGGAGGAGGCGGCAGAGGGCACGTGGGCATCCCATGTTCCCTCATGACGGCTGTCGCCTGCAGTTACCTCAAAATAAAAGGCTTAATTTTAAAAACTCTTGTTTCTCAGAAAAAGCAATTTGCTACTATGAGCTATGCTGTGGAATTCTAATAATTGGGGTAATAAATCTGATTAAGGTTTTCTTTAAACTGTAGCAGAATCCCTACGGGGCTGTGAGACGTGGGACCAGGCTCCTGACCTTGGAAATCCTGGGTAGCGTCTGAGGCAATGCAGGGGAAAGAAAAGCTCATGGTTGAGTGGGTGCTCATAGTCCAGGGGACACTCGTGGGCAGAGCCGTGCTTCCCCACAGGCCTGTGTCCATCGTCTTGGAACGAGGAGTCACTCATGGGCGGGGACGTGCTTCCCCGCAGGCCTGCATCTGCCATCTTGGGATGGGGAGTCACTCATGAGCAGGGGCATGCTTCCCCGCAGGCCTGCATCTGTCGTCATGGAATGGGGGACAGGGTTGGGGTGACACAGTCCCCACGTGCATGTGTCCAGGGTTCCGGTCCTTCCTCCTGAGCTACAGTCACCACCATGGCTCACAGACGGTGCTGCGGGGCTCCTGGTGGCTACAAGTAGACCGCAGTGGACTGAGGGTTGGTTGCCCTGTCCAGGGGGCCTTGAATGCGCCAAGACACGGCCCATCCAGTGTGGCCTGGGCGCCGCTCCTACAGGGATGTCATCAGCTGTCACCTGGGTGTTGCCAAGGGACTTGTGCTTTCTGCCACCCCCTACAGGATCAAACGGCGTGACCCAGGCTGGGGGAGCTGCCCCAGATGCCTGTCAGGCTCCTGCTCCCCAAGGCTCACATTTGCATCCCAAAACCGAGCCTCCCCCCATGGAAGGGCATGCATCCCAGCATGTTTGCCTCAGACTCCTGCTCCCCAAGACTCCCTGGCTTTTGACAGGAGAGCAAGCCTGCCCTTTGGTCGCTGGGCTGAAGGAAGACTGATGGGAACAAGGGTACTCTCTCACCTGCGTGTGCGTGTCCCCCTCCCCCCGCCCCATGGCGTTCAGGGAGCCCCAGGAGGGCAGAGGCTGCTGTGCGCTTTATAGGACGGGAGTGTGAGGGAACACACACTCCAGAGTGTGGGGAGAAACAGTCATGGAGACCAGGGCATTGCACACGGGGCCTGCCGCATCTATTGATTTTTTTTTTTTTTTTTGAGGGTCTCACTCTTGTCCAGGCTGGAATACAGTGGTGTGATCACAGCTCACTGCAGCCTCAAACTTCTGGGCTCAAGCTGTCCTCTCACCTTGGCCTCCCAAAGTGGTGAGAATACAGGTGTGAGCCAGCACACCTGACCTCCACCCTGATTTACGTAAATACCACACTCAGGTCTGGACCCACCCAGCCACATTCATGCCTCAGTTTGTGCCCATGCTAGGCGCCTGCTCCCACTGGGCAGGAAGTGCAGGCCTCCGGGAGGCACAAGCTGGGCCTGCTGGCCATGGGTGTGGCCTTCCCAACTCCCTCATCACATCTCTGGTCTGCTCAGGGCCAGGCTCTTGAGTTGCCACAGGGTGACAGCCGGAGCCAGGTAGACCTTGAGTCTGAGGCTGAGATAGCTCCACGTGTACAATGCACACTGGTTTCAAAGCTGTGGGGTGAGAAAAAGGATGTGGTTTCATTAATAACTTTTTATGTGGGTTACCTGTTGAAGTGGCAACCCCTTGTTCCTGTAGGACCCCAGCTCTTGCTTCCTTACTTGGATGCCACCCGCCAAGCCCCAGTCAGCATGTTCCCGGGCCTGGACTTCCTACCAGTGGGAGCTGGTGCTTAGCTAGGGCTCAATAGGGAGAACACAGAGAACAGCGGGGGGGGGGGGGGTGTGCGGGTGCATGTGTGCATGTGTATGCATATGTGTGCACGTGTGTATGTGAGGGTGTATACGTGTGTGCAGGTTCGTGCGTGTGTGTGCGTGTGCCCGTGTAGGTGGGAATTTCTGCCTGGGATGTGGGAACATCTGAGCCCCATGAGGACTTTGGATCTTTATTTAAATTTGGGCAAGTTCTGCTGGTTCTTCTGTTTCCTGCTGGAGTTATTTTCTTTCTACCGCATTTTACAAAATAGAATGCGCCAAACAAACATGGGTGTTCCTACTGCAGCACAGAAAAGGCGAGGCGCCATCCCACCAAGGCACATGCGACTTTTGAGTCCCAGACGCTGGACCTCAGAGTGCCTGGCCCTGTGTGCAGTGGGGGGCGGAGGCAGAGAGGCCCCCTACCTCGAGCAGCTGCCCTAGGCGGTCAGTTCACATGTTGGGGTTTTGCATGAGATCACACTGGAAAAGCTTCCCCTGCCTGGGAAACTCTGTAAGCGTTGAGTCCATGGCTCATTTTCTGAGAAGGAGGTGCAGGAGGGTGTGTGGCTGTCTCCCTGTCCTCCACGCCCCTGTGCGGAGCCCTTCCCGCCTCCCCTGTGATCCAGGGATGTTCCCCAAGGGCCCGACACAGTGGCAGTGGAGCCCTGGCACTGTCACCCACTGGCATCACAGGACAGCAGCACCCGCCTCATGCACACAGCGCCCTGCACATCTATTGGACGGGGTCCAGGCCGGGTGACCCCTTCACCTGCACAGCAGGGCACCTCCGGGGATTTGGGCAGGGAGCTCTGAGAGACAATGGGTCCTTTCTCTGTCGCCTGGTCTCTCCTCATAAACGGCCGCCACTTCCCCAGGGAACCTGAGCCTGGAGCCAGAGGCAGTGGCCCAGTGCCCACAACCTGAGGCGCTCTAGGCCCGCGTGGTCCGGGCTCTTGGCAGACCCCACACCCTCAATTAAATGCTCAGCAGAGGACTGAGGTGTGTGGGTGGGCACTGGCATGTGCTGGCATGTGCTGGCGTGTCATGTGCTGCCGTGACACAGGCGTGGGAGGCTGTTTTATCTGGTACCCTCATGTGACGCTTCAGACACCAGATGGTACTGCCAAACAGACGCTGGTCCAGGGTCCCTGCAGGGCGTTGGGAATATTTCCATCTGGTCAGGTGACATTGGTGTCACATGGGCATTGCTCGCAGAGGGGCCAGGCTCTGGAGGAAGGAGAGTGGCAGTCAGCACTCGACCTTTGGCCTCGCTTCACTGTGGGTGAGGAGCTGCCCACCAAGGGAGCCCAGGCCACATGTCAGACGCACGCCTACCTTAGTGTCTCCGTGAGGGCTGGGCGTTAAGGGCCACAGAGACCATAGCTGCAGTCTTCCCCACCCTCTGAGTCAGCCCTGGGTCTCCTCACTCCACCCTCCTTTCTTAGGTGAAGCCCCTGCTCCCTTAGACTTGGATGGTAGCAGAAGGTCTGGCTAGAAGTACTTTTTCTTTTTTTTTTTTTTTTTTTTTTTTTTTGGGACGGAGTTTCGCTCTTGTTACCCAGGCTGGAGTGCAATGGCGCGATCTCGGCTCACCGCAACCTCCGCCTCCTGGGTTCAGGCAATTCTCCTGTCTCAGCTTCCTGAGTAGCTGGGATTACAGGCACGCACCACCATGCCCAGCTAATTTTTTGTATTTTTAGTAGAGACGGGGTTTCACCGTGTTGACCAGGATGGTCTCGATCTCTTGACCTCGTGATCCGCCCGCCTCGGCCTCCCAAAGTGCTGGGATTACAGGCTTGAGCCACCGCGCCCGGCCAGAAGTACTTTTTCTAAACCCTGAATCCAAAGCAACGTGGATGCCTGAGGGCCCTGGCAGCTGAAGCATGAGCCCAGCCCCTGCAGGGTCTCCCGATGGCCCTGGTCCTGAGACTGGGACTTGCACATTCATCCCTAGCCTCAGGCTGACAAAGACCTGCCCTCACACCTGGGGGAACAGGGAGCTAATGCCTCTTCCTGACCCCTCCTCTCTTTCCTCACTCCCTAGCTCCCCCACAACTTAGCAGGGACCAAGGAGCCACCAAGGCCACTTCCTGCCGTACCTGCCTGGTGTGAGGTTGCAGCTGGGGAGGCTCATTCCCAGGGAGGAGAGACTGGGCAGGGGCTGCAGTCCTTTCAGGCTGTTCTCAGAGCCCCCACAGCAGTGCAATGCAGCCCCCACACAGAATCTGCTGGACCCAGGCTGCCTGCTCCCCCAGCCCCAGGCTGTCCCCACACAGCCTGCACGCCTGTGCTCAGCATAGCTGGGCAGGGAGGGAGGACCCGCAGGGAGGAAGGGGCTGTAGATGGAACTGGTGCCGGGATCCGAGTGTTGGGCTCAGGCTGGGACAGGGTAAGATTAACCAGAACGCTGCCGTGGCCGTGGCTGGGGCGCCCTTCCTGGGGCTCAGTTCTGTGTGTGTAATATTCATGGTCGTCAGGAAAATTTGTAGCCATGGAGACTGGTGTCCAGTCCAGGGACCTGGTGCCAGGCCGGCTTTATGGAGCCCCTGCATGTTTCTTCCGAGTTTCCTATTGGCTTAAATTCACTAAGCCACTCAAGTCTCCTGGGGATGATCATGGTGTTTATTTTTGCCAGTTCTTTTGGTTGGGGTGTGACTAACAAGTGTTCCCCACCTTGGACATCTCCAGGAAGAGCGGGTGTGTCATGGGCTCACACAGGGCCCACGTCAGGCAGAGGAGCTGGATGGGTGGGGTGCGCGGGAAGGCATCGTGGAGACTCTGCTGCCTCAGTTGAGTCTTCGGGAATCTTTTCAAATCAAATTAGTGTCATTTCTTCTCTGTGTCTCTTGCCAGGAGTTGTAGGCATAAAGGCAGAAGATAGTTGTCAAGCAGTTATATCTTCTCTGGAAGCTGCTGGGCGATTGATCTGCTTTGCACCTCCCAGCCTTCAGGGTTTGGCTTTGTGGTTTGTTTTCAGTTTGTTGAGTGCAATGAACTTTTTCATTGCCCTAGAAGCTGGTAAGGATTTGATGTTTAATTGCACAAGTGCTACGTTGCTCAGTGTAGACTGTTGAGTGTTCACATCGTAAAATACACAGTGTAGATGAAGTGACGGGTCCCTTGGCCATGTCTCCATGCCGGCCCTCGGAGTCGCAGTTTATCTGTGTGGGTGTGCATCCTGTGTGGGTACCTGTCCTGCGTGGGTGCCTGTCCTTTGTAGGTGCCTGTCCTGTGTGGGTATATGTCTTTTGTGGGGGTGTGTCCTGCGTGAGGGCCTGTCCTCTGTGGGTGTGCCCTGTGTGGATGCATGTCCTATGTGGGGGTGTGTCCTGTGTGCAGGCGTGCCCTGTGTGGGTGCCTGTCCTACACAGGGGCCTGTCCCACATGGGTGCGTGTCCTGTGTGGGTGCGTGTCCTGTGTGGGTGCGTGTCCTGTGTGGGTGCATGTTCTTTGTGGGGCATGTCCTGTGTGGGGGCATGTCCTGTGTGATACTTTCCATGCACATTGAATTGTTTTATGCGTTTTCAAGTGTAATCCTCAAGACAGCTAACCAAAAATTCAGAAGAGAGAATGTGTGACTACAATTTAAATTTTTCTTCACTTCATATGAGAGTCTGTATTTCATCGGGTCTGAGATGCTAGAGACTGTTATAGCATTGAGATGGGGTAACTGCACTTTCTACAGTTTTCTGCTTGCACTGGGATAGTCCAGAGATGCTAAGCTGTAGATGTCACACATCTGTGACTGGCTGATGCTTCCTTCCACAGGGGCCTGTCCCATCTGTGTGTCAGAAAACTGTCATGTTAGGAGAGAGGTTCTTACCCTGATGGCGTCAGTTCAAAGCTACCTGACACACCTCCCCCTGGAGACCGGCCCCACCCTGCAGGGTCTGTGGGCTGGACACTGGGCCTAGAGGCCCTCCAGGTGGCCCAAGGTCCGCCCTTCCTAGACTCCTGGGGCCGGCAGGAGCCTGGAGTCACCTCTGGCCACCATGCCAGGCTTTGTGTCCGAGGCCTGAAACTCAGGTCCCTAGAAGTGGCCCTCACAGGCTTGTATTTGACACTTGCATTCTTTTAAAAAAATTTTGGTGTATACTTAGGCAATTTACAAGCCCTTGGGGCAACTTTGGGAGGTATATGTGATACCGGTAAGTTTGTTAAAAGCATTTGCTAATGAAACCCGAGTTCTTTGGAGGGTCGGCACATGGGTGGCAGTGGGAGAAAGCTGTCCTTGCTCTTCCGCCAGTGATAGCCATCCTGCTTTGCTCATCTGTGATCCCTGGGCCAGGTCCAGGCCAAGCGGAGGAAGCAGCGGGTCCCAACAGTGCCATACCTGAGCCTGGCGGCCCCTCCTCCCTCCCACACTGCCCCCCCACCCTGCCCAGAGCTACTGCCTCCCGCCCCCCTCCTGCTGGACACCCTCCCAGGACCCACCTATGTCATCCCAAGGTAGCTAAGGCCGCTCACTTCATGGTCACAGCCTAGGGGAATCGCCTGGTCCAGGCTAGAAATGTCGGGGCTGCCAGGGCAGCAAGCACGGGGGGTGGCCAACAGCACAGAGTGGAGCCAGGCACCCCCAAGGCCCGAGGCTGCCTGGGCACAGCTTCCTCACCACCTGCCTCTGCGAATTCTGTTGAGGCCCAGCAGAGAAAGCAGGAATTTGGGTTTTTTAGCTGAGATCATCTCTTGGGTCCATTGGTTGCTTAGGAAAAGTTAAAGGTATGTGGCCAGCTGTAGGTACACGCCAGGACGGTGGGCAGCGCACCAGAGCTTCCCACCTCCTGGGCCGCAGTGGCTCCCTTGGGGCCTGTGACCCCTGGCGGGTCAGGAGCACTGGTGGTCAGAAGCAAGAGTTGGTGTGAAGGAGGCTGTTTCCGCAGCGTCCTTGCCGGTGCCTGACACGAGAGACAGCCCTGAGCCTGGCACTCTGGAAGCCTGCAAGAAACAGCTGGACCTGCAGGTCCGCCGTGTGGCCGCCCGTGTGGGACAGCCTGGGTTCCCCTCGCCGTCCACCCCAGGCCAGTGCCCATGTTACTGCCTCCGTCCGTCTTGGTCCTGCCTTCAGCGCCCTGGCCTCCATCCCGAGACCCTGCTGCCGGGCCCTGTCCACCTGCTCAGGGCCTGTCCAGGCGCCCCACCATGTGGGCTGACAGACCCCCAGCCACTGCCACAGCCCCTCTGCAGCCCCAACGGTGTGGTGGACTTTGGCCTGCATGGTCAGCAGAGGCCTGTGTGGCCCACAGGGTGGGGACAGAGGCGGGGCTGGCGCCAGAAGGGTTTTTGCCTTTTGGGCCAGGTGTTCTGCTGTGCCTGCCTTATTGGCAGCTGTGAGCCTAGGAGGTGGGTGCGGAGCCGGCTGGAGCAGGTCAGCCACTGGGTTCCCCTGTGGGTGTCCACATTGTCCTTGCCACGAAACTCCTCACTCCTCAGACCCCATGGGCCTGGCCTGGTGGGTCTCAGAGCCTCCTGCCTGTGTGTCTAGGTGGCCCAGGCCTTCTCGCCACAACTCTTAAGCCTCTCCATGCTGGGCACCTGCCAAGGAGGGTGCCCCTCGCCCCCCAGGCCCTGCCTCTTGCTGTCAGCCCCCAGCGGGCTCTAGGGATGTGGCTATGTGTGTGTCTCCCTGAGTGTATGTGGGTGTATGTGGATTGGTGTGGGGACATGGGTGAGGGGTGGGAGCTGTTAGTGTGGGGCTGTGGTGGAGGTGTGAGTCTGCATGTGTGTGCGTGTGTGGAGTGGGGCTGCGTAAATACCTGTGTGTAGGGGGGCCCTTGCCTCGACTTACTTTGCTCTTCCTGGGGTGGGATGCACAGGTTGGCGCTGTGCCCGGCCTCCCTTCCTGAAAGCCCTGGCTCCCGGTAGGCAGTGGCTGGTTCTGATTCCCACGACCCGTATCATTTCCCTGGGCTCCTGGCCTTGCTCACAGTCAACACTGATGTTCTCGCTTTTTCCAGGAAAGGTGAAGCATGTGGATGGTGGCTGGGGTCACCTCCTGGTCGCCTCAAGGCCTAGCTGCCCCTGGCTCTAACGCTTTGTGTCGTCCTCTTCTTTTGTTAATTAGGGGAGAGGTGGACAGGAGGGAGACCTGGGCTTTCCTGGTAAGATGTGGCTGGAGAAACACGGTCACAGGGGGCCCTCTCCCTCCTGCTGGGGTCCTGGCTGCCCTCCCTGTCCCCAGCCTGCAGCCCAGGTGGAGCCAGGCAGCCAGCAACCTGCTAAAACCCAGCAGGCCCCAGGCACCGTCATCAGGATTTGGGTCATGCCCAGGGCCAGCACCTAGCGTGTGTGATAACAGGCCTCGGCACACCGTCAGCCCTCCCTGGGGCCCAGCCCAGACCTTCCCGAGCCATGCGGGGTGGGGCAGGGCCACACAGAGGCGGGAGTCTGCGGTAGGTGCATGTGGGTGGGGAAGGGGCCTGTGGGCAGTTAACCCTGGCACCTGGCGCCTGCCTGCGGGACTGGCCATCCTCATGGAACCCGTCCATCTCTCCGTTGCAGCACAGGCTCAGCGGGATGTTGTCAGCCGGGGCCGGGCTTGGTGCTTGCAGACAGAGCTTTTGGCCACTGCCATGGGAAGGGTGGGCTGAAGAAGCTCCAGGTAACGCACCCATCTGGAGACCCTTGTCCATCCCAGAAGCCTGATGTTGTTCCCTGCCTTTCAGGGAGGAGCCGTGCTCAGGACTGTGCAGGATGCAGAGCCGGAGCTGTCTCCAGAGGAGCAGAGCGTCCTGGAAAGGAAGCTGAAGAAGAAACGGAAGAAAAAGGAGCGGCAGCGGCTGCGGGAAGCGGGTGTCGTGGCTCAGCAGCCGCCGGCCAGACGCTCGGGGGCCGAGCTGGCCCTGGACTACCTCTGCAGGTACGGGGCTCCGCCCCATGCACTTCTGTCCCTGGTGTGTGTCTTGACCCCTGCACGAGGAGGCTGCCGCCTTCACCTGCACATGCTTTTTGGAAGGTTTTAGCAAAGTGGGGCATCAGTGTTCATGCCAGGCCTGTGCTGCCACCACTGCCCTTTCTGTCCGAATGGCTCAGAGCCTTCAGGAGCTTTCATGGGCAGCAGCTCTCTGCAGGGGCTGCCCGGAACTGTGCTCTTAGACATGGCTCCAGTGGTGAACCTCGTCCTGGTGTGGGTCACCACAGGGAGGATCTGCGGGCCTGGCTGCTGCTTGGACATGGAATGAGGAGGAGGGAACTCGGAGTGGCCCTCAGCCCTCACTCACAGTAACAGGAGGCAGCAGTGCCACCAGAGAGGAGACAGGGACCGAGGGGTGCCGGGCGCAGGGCGCCATCTCCCTGGCTGCCTGCAGCGTTGCTGGGTGGGCGGTGCAGGATTGCAGGGGTCAGAGGTTTGGCGTGGGCTCTGCAGCCATGCGGGCTGTGGCCACCTCCCTGGCGCTCACCAGCACAGGCTGCCGTCCATTTCTGTCCCTCTGTCCCTCTCCCTGAGTGCTGATGGCGCCTAGGAGAAGGGGTGTTACAGCATCCATGTGACCGGTGTCCTCAGAGACAACAACTAGGCCCTGTTCATTGGGTCCCTGTGATGGAGTCACCCTGACGGGCAAGGTGTCCTGTGAGGGGACGCTGGCCCTGCATGGGAAAACAGGCTCCAACCACGCCTCTGTGGGAGCCCCTCAGAGAGATGGCTCCAACCACGACTCTGTGGGATCCCCTCAGAGAGATGACCCCAAGTGTGGCTGTGCAGCTCGAGCAGTGAGCAGCAGGGCCTGCATGGATGTGTACACATGTATGTGTGTGTGCATGTGTATATATGTCATGTATATGTGTGCACCCATTTGTGCACACGTGTGGATGTGTGCGCACATGTGAACATGTGTGTGCATGTGTATATTTATGCTTGTGTGTGGGCATGTCTTGTATGTGCACATGTGTATACGTGGACATGTGCATGTGTGTGGTGGGGTATGTGTAGATGTGTGGGCGCATGTGTGTACGTGTATGCAGATGTGCACGTGTGTGTGCATGTGTGTGTGTGTGTGTGTGTGTGTGTGTGTTCTGTGTGCATCCCCAGGACGGCCCTCTACTCCAGGAGAGAAGCTCTTGGCCACCCTGCACCAGGCAGAGAGCTGGGCTCAGGAAATAGAGGGGCTGAGCACTCCTCTTTCTTGGGGCCAAAGCTGCCTTGGAGCCGCAGAACGCGAGCTCAGCCATGGCGTTGAGTGGATCTGGCTGGAACCAGTTCGGTCATCGTGGGTCTCTGCACCAAATGAGTTCTCTGGGAACCTCAGTTTCCCCCTCCCTGGGGAACATGGGGCTGATGGCCGGGCACCCAGGGCTGCCCCAAGAGCTCTTTCCTGCTCCGAGAATGCGCCTGGCCCAGGGGTCAGTGCTGGCTGTGGTGTGAGGCCGCTGACCCCTGCGCTCACTCCTGCTCCTTGGCAGGCAGGGCCACAAGCCACTGCAGAGTCAGTCGCTGTAGACAGAAGGGGCTTCGGTGGCCATTGGTGCATCACCTAGAGCCCAGGTATGGGTGGGGTGTGGGTTGGACAGAGGAGCAGGTGGGCATAGAGACCTGGAAGACGCCAGTTGCAGGAGCAGACTGTGGGCTGCCCCGTGGGATGTAGAGGGCAATTGGGGTCTGCAGCTGTGCTGCCTGCGCCCTCCCTGGCTCCCAGAGGCTAGGCCCAGAGGCATAGCTGTTCTGGGCCTGCGCTGACGCCTGAGGCCAGCGGGGAGCAGGAGTGGGCAGGGTTTGTACTCCATCCTCCCCATGGCCTCCTTCTTTCCTAGGGCCCCCTTCCTCCCTACTCCCCACACCTGCCAGTGCCTTTGGCTGCCCTCGGCGTGGACTCTTAGCACAAGGGGGCCGGTGGGGACATGGGCAGGAGAGGGGAACCAGCCGCGCTCCAGCGTGGCTGCCGCTCCCTGGTCTTCACCCTGGAGGCACCCTGGTTCCCCTCCCATGACCACATGTCCTTTGAGGACCCTATGGGAATGTCATGGGTGCCTGGGTGCCCACCCTGCTCCTGTCCTGGACCTCATCCTCCAGGACCTTCCTGTGGCCCCCTTGTGCTACTCGTGACCCTGCAGCCATGAGCCCTGTGCGGAGGCACTGTCCTGCTTGTGCAAGGAGGGGGTGGCCCTTACTCCTCAGAAACAAAGCAGCCTCTTCACACGGGAGCTTCCTCCAGGGCCTGGGATCCATGCACCAGGGGGCTGCCATGCCAGCCACAGACATGGGCACCCCAGCAAGCGCTCCTCCTCTTTCCTGGGGGTCTCCAAGGGCACCCACAAGCCTAGCCACATCTGGCTGCCAGATCAGAGCCCACATGGACATGTGGGGCCCACGGTATCCTTGGGAACTCAGGGTTTTTCAGAGGGAATCAGGGGAGTCCTGCAGGGAAATGTCCTTAGTCTGGGGACCATTGGTCATGCCACAGCTGGCCCATCGCAGACCCCCCACTCAGGGGCAGCGGTGAAGGGAGGTGCCCCCAAGTCATCCTCCCACCTAGGCAGAGAGAAAAGGGATCATGTCAGGCAAACAGTGAACTGTCTGCAGCTGTATAGGGATCAGTCCTCAGGGTGGGGGGCAGAGGTGGCCATCACTCAGGAGGCCTCACCTGGCACCCCAGGAGCCACAGGTGACATTGAGCACCCCACCCTCCCCTCGCTTTGTCCGCTAGCCAGTGACGAGGCCGAGCAGGATGGCTCATCTTTGGTGGCGAGGATGGAGACGAACTCAGCTTGAAGCCAGCCTGGTGGGGACTCAGCAAGACAGAGGCTCCCTCAGTTCAGGGCCGTGGGCAGCAGTGTAGTGGCCTTGGGCCCCACAGGAGGGCCATGTGCAGGGCAGAAGTGACTGACCCACCGTGTGTGGTCTCTGGAAACACCTGTGAAATGGGATCACCACTCCAGGTTCCCAAAGAGGAAACAGGAACATAGCAGCTCAAGGTGGCAGAATTGAAAGGTAGCAAAGCTGAGATGCCAGCCGCTCCCTGCAGCGGGCAGTTGCCTTGGCTAATGTGGCCAAGTGCACCTCACAGGGGCCGGTGCTGGCCAGATCGGGCTTCAGGGCAGGGACCACATGGGACAGTCTGAAAAGAAAGGAATGAAGACCAAACCTTCCTAGAGGCTCCTCTCATCACGCAGGAGCTGTGCGTCTGTGCACATGGGACTGGCATGTCACATGGCAGGTGCACAGCCAGGCTCCCTGTCCATGGGACTCCCCTCACCCACAGGACTCCCCTCACCCACAGGACTCCCCACCCACAGGACTCCCCTCACCCACCGGACTCCCCTCACCCACAGGACTCCCCCCTCACCCACAGGACTCCCCAACCACAGGACTCCCCCCTTAACCACAGGACTCCCCCCTCACCCACAGGACTCCCCCCACCCACAGGACTCCGCTCACCCACAGGACTCACCTCACCCACAGGACAGTAGGGACAGGTAGGCTGGGTGGCACTCAGGTGCAGGCCCTCCCCACTGCTGCACCTGCGTCTTGAGACCTGGGCCTGCATGTTGATGGAGGCATCTGTGTGTGGCCGCTGTGCCTGGCCCTGGAAACACGTGTCTCGGAGGAGGTCTCTGGAGTAAAGCCTGCCTGGAACTGTCCCATCCACCATGCCAGCCTCGCTCGGTCCCCAGCTGCCTAATGTCCACAGGCCCAGCGCAGGAGCGAGATGTTGGGGGATGGGCGGTTGTGGCCCCAGCTAGCAGCCCCTTTGGCACCCAGGAGCTGGTCATCTCAGGCCCACTGCCCCCTTGTTGTGAGGGCCTGGGACACTCAGGAACCTGGCTGTGAAACGGGTATTGTTCATTACAGTCTACGTATTTTGGGTAATCAATTAAGTGGCTCCCTTTCCTCCCAGAGAAACTGACTTCATCCTTCCTCCCCTATAAAATCAGTGTGGCCCGTGGGGTGGGGGAGCCCACAGGACACTTGGGGGCAGCCATGAGCCCCAGGGTGGCCAGACTGAGAGTGGCGTGAACGTGTTTCCTGGACAGGCAGCAGCAGGTTTTGCTTGGTGGGTTGCAGCTCCTCACCTCAGGCAGGGGAGGGGCTCCAAAACCTCCTCCACACGTGACCTTGGTGTTCAGCATCTGGTGGGGCTCCCTCTCCTGAGATGAGACAACCCAGATCTGTTGGGGCACACAGGCGCCCGGAGGCGTTTTGCTCAGCACCTGAGATGTTTTTGTTTTATTTTGTTTTGTTTTGTTTTGTTTTGTTTTGTTTTTGAGACGGAGTTTCACTCTTGTTACCCAGGCTGGAGTGCAATGGCGCGATCTTGGCTCACCGCAACCTCTGCCTCCTGGGTTCAAGCAATTCTCCTGCCTCAGCCTCCTGAGTAGCTGGGACTACAGGCGTGCGCCAACATGCCCAGCTAATTTTTGTGTTTTTAGTAGAGACGGGGTTTCACCATGTTAACCAGGATGGTCTCGATCTCTTGACCTCGTGATCCACCCGCCCCTGCCTCCCAAAGTGCTGGGATTATAGCCGTGAGCCACCGCACCCAGCTGCACCTGAGATGTTTGTCTTCCTTTCCCCAGATGGGCCCAAAAGCATGAGAACTGGAGGTTTCAGAAGACGAGGCAGACATGGCTCCTGCTCCACATGTATGACAGTGACAAGGTCTGTGTCCAGTGGGGAGGGCACGTCTCCTGGGGATGGAGGCCGGTGCACACTGGGGCCCTGACAGTAGAAGCCACAATATGAAAGGTCCACCCTCAGGGCCCACTGCAGGGTGGGTCTCCCAGTGCCCTTGTTCTAAGAGATGAGCAGCATTGCCTGCTCCAGGAGTGCCACCGCCGGCCTTCAGGGCAGAAACCAACACAGGGTGACTCACAGAGGCCACCTGCCAGTGTGCATGGGTGCCCGCCTGCCCGCATACCCACCTGCCTGTGTGCGTGTGAGGTGAGTCTACACATGTATGTGTGGGCAGCTCTCCTTTGCAAGGGCAGGATGTGAGATGGGGTTTCACAGAATGAACCAAAGCAGAATTCTGAACTAAACCCGGCTGCTGGGAGGTGGGCTGGAGTTGTCCATGTCCTGTGAGGCTGGAGGAGCCCCCAGTTCTACTGAGCTGTATCCTATGGGCAGCGCCTCCTGCCTCGCCAGCTCTCCTGGCATCAATGTTACTAGATGTCAGTCTTTTCGTGCTGTGTGTGTGCGCCCTGGGGGCAGGGGACAGTTTTCTCCTGCCTGTGCCTGTGTTTTCGGACTCTCAAAGTAGGGGCAGGCCCACTGGCCCCACTCATAGCCCTGGAACATTCCAGGCATAGCCTGTGGCCACTTGCTTTCATTATTTTGTCATTGTTGGTTCTTTGTGGGTTTTTTTTTTTTAGCAGGGTCCCACCCAGGCTGGAGTGCAGTGGCGCAATCACAGTTCACTGTAGCTTCGACCTCCTGGGCGCAAGCCATCCTCTGTCCTCAAAGTCAGAGGACATACACATCCTGATTGTGAGCCCTATAGCAAAGCTCCAGTAATCACGCCACCGGGGTGGGCACAAGGCTGGAAGCAGAAGTGACTGGAACAGCCTGGGGAGCCCAGAAGCCCTCATGCCGGGGCAGCTGTTTCCAGCATGTAGGCCAAGCCCGTTCCATGTGCAGGAAACCCCTTCCCAGCAGAGCCTGGGACAACTGGGTTTCCACATTTTGGTTTTTTTAATAGAAGTTTAGGTGGTTTTATTTATATATTACTATTACCAAAAGGAAAATTAATACAAAATTTTTATACAGAAAAATAACCCTTGACTAGGCAAAGCCATTTTTGTGTGTATACACATACACACACCCAAAGTATCTTACACCATCATAGCTGTACGTATTTACGAACAAATGTGCATTTTTACTTACATATTTTTTATTACACTTGTATTATAACCACACATGTTTACAAATATGCTAATACTTAATGCACATGACCTCTGCTTCATACCATATACAAAACTTAAAATGGATCAAAGCCTTAAATTTAATAGCTAAAACTAAAATTCTCAGATGGAATTAGAGCTTTGCTAACTCAGTAACAAGAGCACCCCTGCTGCAGGGACCTGAGGCACCTGTCCGCAGATTCACAAGTGGTCAGCAAGCCTACACAGAGGTGCCCCCACCACCAGCAGACAAGGGTCAAGCTGCCACCAGATGCCACCCGGCCGCTGCCACCCAGAGCAGAAAGGCAAGCACTCTAAGTGCTGGAGCGGGCGAGGCCTTTTTACCTCGGCCTCCCCTTGTTTGATGTGTGTCGTCTCTTCTCATTTTTCTGAGGATTTTTGTGATGTTTTTGAAATGTTCTTCACCCCTTGTGGCGTCTGTTTTGGTCAGGTTCACTTAGTGTTTTGTCTGCCTCTAACAGGCATTTCTTCTTCCAGTGTCTGGGGCAGGGCAGGGTCTGCAGCCAGACCGCCTGTACCCTCAGGCTGCAGTGGGAGGTCTCCTGGGGCTGGAGGGCCCCCTGGGGGCCAGAGGAAGCATAAAGGGCCCGGCGTCCTTTGCCTAAGCTTCAGCGTCTTGTCTTCCGCTGCCCAGGGGCACGCCGTGCTACTGCCCAACTCCATCTCTTCCCCTCCAGGTTCCCGACGAGCACTTCTCCACCCTGCTGGCCTACCTGGAGGGGCTGCGGGGCCAGGCCCGCGAGCTGACGGTGCAGAAGGCAGAAGCCCTGATGCGGGAGCTGGACGAGGATGGTGTGGGTGGCCCCAACCCCCTCCTGCCAGGGAGGGCCCAGCGCATCCGCCAGGTGCTGCAGCTGCTGTCCTAGTGGGTTCAGCGCTGGGCAGGGCCGCAGCCCAGCAAAGGGCAGCCTCGGGCCACACAGGGTGCTGCTGCCCACCTCCTCTGGTGATGGGGGCCGAGATCACCAGCAGGGCAGTGGCCGGACAAGGGCATCCAGGTTCTAGGCTGGGTCCCTCCCCAGCACCACAGCCTCGCAAGGACCCCACTTCCTCCACACCCTTCTTGGGCAGACAGTTGTGACAGTGAGGACTGATTCAGTGCCTTTGTCCCAGAGCATGGACGCTCTGGAATCACCCAGAGACACCTGGCCTTGGAGAGGCCCTCAAGTCCCGGGAACCTGCTTTGGAGGGAAATGTCTACTTTTCTCCCAGGGATATTTTAGAGATTGGGCCATGAGGCTCCTCCCGCTGGCTGCAAACGTGCACCTTCCGCCTGCTCCCCCGTCCTCCTGTGTGGGCCGCGCTCCTGGTCCCCCACCTGTGTCCATCGAGGGGCCTGGCTGTGGCCTGTCCATTCTCCTTCGACCCCACAAAGCCTTGCTGCCAGTCCTGGGGAGGGGGAGCCCCTGCTGAGGGCTTGCGGAGTCAGATCGTGTGCCTTGCAGAAATGGTCTCTGTGGCTGCATTTGAAATAAAACCCAACCCACCAGGAGCCATGGCTCCTGCTTTGTGTGGCACATCCCCTGCCTGTGGACTGTGGAATTTGTGTCCCCCACACCAGGATGGCATTCGGGGCGCTCAGTGTGTGGCATTCCTGGCAGTGGGCGCTGGTTGACTGCTTGCGTCAGGCTGGCCTTTTCCCAGCACTGGCAGTGACACCCTGCCAGGAAAACTCACTTATGCTGCACAGAATCGGGAGACACACTTCCCATTCCCAGCAGCATGTGGTTCCCACCCCCAGGTGATGTGAGGTGCCGCGGAGCATCTGGAGGGCTGTGGTGACCACAGAGCACTGGGCAGCTGCTGGGGAGGGCCAGGTGGCCACAGCAAGGAGGTCCGTGCCCCACCAGGAGGCTGAGTCTGTTGTGTTCCAGAATGGGCCTCAGGGAGGTCTGAGGCCAGCGGCTCCAGCCTGGGCCTCCACAGAGCAGACGCCCAGGTGCTGCTGCCACGGGGCGCCTCCTGCCTGGCCCAGGTGGGGGGTTTGTGCTGCCATCTCAGTGCTCCTTTGACTGACGGTGGAGCAGAAAAGCAGCCTTGGGATAGTGGCCCAGGCTCTGGGTGCCCCCTTGGGTGCTCTGACCCCTGACAGAGCTGCTGAGACTGAGGCCACCTGCCTTGGCTCCCACCGACCCACAGAGTTGCATGCAGGCCGGGAGGCGGGAGCTTGGCCTCAGCCCCCCAGGAGCAGGGAGGCACGGGCTCCAGGCTGTCATCCTGGGGAGGGCCTGGGGCTTCCCGAGGTCCTTGCTGGCCTGGCTGGGCCTCAGCCGTGACCCTCAGGACCTACACCTCAGAGCGGTGACTGTGGCCTCACAGTGACCCTTAGACATCTACTGTGACTTCCGCCTTGGCTCCCTTAAGATGCCCAGAGCCAGGCTAAGATGTGGCCCAAGCCCAGGAGCTGGGTCCACACATCCAGGGTGCCCTGGGAAGGTCAGGCTGACCACTCGGGCCGTCTCCATGTGGATATCCAGGCTGGAGGAGACCCTAAGGATCGTGTCCCCCAGGTCTCATCTGCACCCACCAAGTTGTGGGAAGGCGGTGAGGCCATCTGCTCTTCCTTGGCTAGCATCCTGCCCATCCCACCCACTGTTGTGGCCAAGATTCTGACCTCCCACGGCACAGGCCCTGCTGTGTGTGCCGGTGGCAGGTGAGGAGCCCAGGCGTCCTGGTGCCAGTCAGGTGAACTCACAAACAGGAAGGCACGCTGCACAGCACGAACCTTCAGATCTGTGAGGCAATGCCTGCAGTCGGGTCCTGGCAGCACAGTCTTGCAGAGAACCCCTCAGAAGCTTCCATGGTCACCCCTGCAGTCAGCATGCTCATTGACCGTAACCCTGGGAGGCATCTTAAACAAACACCAACACACAGCAGAGGGAGACCCACAAAGTGCAGAGAAGGAGCAGCAGCCACCAAAAGGCAGGGTCAATGGATCCTGAACCATGGCTCTGAGCTTCCCAGCAGCCAAGTCAAAAAGGGAAATGTGGGGACTGCTGAGTCCTCACCAAAAGCTAACGGGAAAAGGTCTTGAAGACCTGGCCCTCCCTTTCATCAACACACATGCTCCCCTGACACCAGCTGGGGAGTGCTCTCCTATCAAGGGTTCCCACCTCTGTGGATTGTTAAGTGCCAAGCTCCTCCAGGGCTCCCTGGAGAAAGGTGCTAAAGGGTGGCACAGAGATGTCACCTGGGACGCAGCTCAGAGAACCACGCAGGGCCTTGAGGTCCCCCTACCCCCTGCAGGTCAGCGAGGGCACCCACCCATGCAACCTTGGGGCCCAACCACGTGGGGCCACCTGTGCTGGGGCTACAACTCCCTGTCTCGGCTGGCACTTGTGCTGAACTCCCAAGCCAGGAAGCCTCCAGCTAAGGAAGCCCCACCACCACCTGGAGACGACACCCATGTCTGTCCCTGGGCAAGCACTCCTCACGGTGGAGAGGACAGCTGCTGACCCGCAGCAAGCTGGGTGGATCGGGACTCATGCCAGGTGAGGGGCCAGACCCCAGGGCAGGCATGCGTGCTGTTCCCTTTGCATGCGTCCAAGGCCATAAGCAATCAGCTGTGATAGAAAGCATATCTGGGCTGAGCTCAGGGAGGAATGTCCCCTGCAGTAGGTACCAAGGTGTGTGCAGGAGTCAGAACCACCAAACTACACAGTGATACCTCCTGCCAGGCGCTGTGGCTCATGCCTGTAATCCCAGCACGTTGGGAGGCAGACACGGGAGGATCACTTGAGCTCAGGAGTTCAAGACCAGGCTGGGCAACATGGCAAAACCACCCCCCTACAAAAAATAAAAAATTATTCAGGCATTGTGGCATGTGCCTATAGTCACAGCTACTCAAGAGGCCAAGGTGGGAGGATGGCTTGAGACTGGTAGGTCGAGGCTGCAGTGAGTGAACAGTGGTTAAAAAAAATTTTTTTTTAATCAAAAAGAGCAGTGTTTGGAAGTCAGAATCACATTGCCTGTGGGGGTGAGCAGAGATCTATGGAGACGGGGGCTTTCCCGGGCAAAGGGGTCTCCCTGACATTGGGGGTGTGGATGACACTCATCAGAGCCGGTCGGAGACCCCTCACAGCACCGTGAGACTTCTGCAAACTGGGCCCTGACGTAGCCTGCCCTGCCCTCGGAGGAAGCCTCTGGGCAGTTTCTTGCAGGATTGATGTCTGAGAAACAGCTCACACTGGGTACTGTCTGCTGACTTCCACCAAGAAAGACAGGTTCAGGCACTGAACCACCCCTCAGAGCACTTTCCTCCCTCCAAGCCCCCAAGACAGTGGCATCTTTTCAAAGACAGGTCCTGCTTCGTCGCCCAGGCTGGAGTGCAGTGGCATGAGCTCAGATCACTGCAACCCCCATCTCCCAGGCTCAAGCGATTCCCCTGCCTCAGCCTCCTGAGTAGCTGGGACCATAGTTGCTACCACTTCACCTGGCTAATCTTTGTATTTTTTGTAGAAACGGCCTCGCTGTGTTGCCCAGGCAGGTCTCAAACTCCTGGGCTGAAGCGGTCCTCCGCCTCGACCTCCCATGGTGCTGGGATTCCACCGTGAGCCACTGGGACTGGCAGCATCTGTTTCTGGATGACTCAGTACCCAGCATTCATATCCCAGAGCCTCAAGCTGACCTTCCAGCAGGGTCCAGCACTGTCTGCTCCCTACTCCCATCCCTCGAGCACTTGCCGCCCCCACTGGGCTCTTTCTCTCTCTGCCTGTCCCTGCCTGTCTCCTCACAGACCAAGTGGCACCACCTGCCATCCATCCTCCTGCTCCAGTCACAGTCGCCCTGGCCGGGTGCCCTCCAGTGGCTCCCAGGGAACGGGCGCTCTCTCCACTATGCCCTCCAGCTGCTCCCCCTGCCCTGCCTGGGTCAGGCCACCCCCGCTCACTGGGACCTGAGAACTGCTCGCACCGCTGCTGGGTACATGGGTTTCATAGGTGAGAAAGTCCAGCGCAGCCTCAAACCTCGAAGAGTCATCAAAGTTAGGACCCTTCAGATTCCTCCAAGCCTCACCTCGTCACTCCCATGGCCCAGCAGTCAACAGCCACGGGCCACCCACCCACTTGTTACCCAGCAGAAACTATCAATACACTCTCTGACTTTTGACACCCTAGGACTTTGCTTAGATTTCACAAGGGCCTGGATCCAGGCAGGAGGAGTGGGAATTTGGCCAGTGATGGGCCTGCCTCGGGGCATTCGTGAGAGCCGCCCAGAGAGTGCTGGGCGCAGGGCTGAGCTGTCCAAGCCCCACTGACCTCCGAAGCCCGGTGAGCCCACCGAGCCCTCCCACCGTCCAAGGTGGGAAGAAGACCCCTGCTCCGAGGGAGCCCCGGGCAATCACTGGGAGGGCCCAGGTCCCAGAGTGAGGCGGGCTTCCAGCCTCTGGGTTCCTGGGCAGAGGTCTCCTGATAGGGGCTGCCCACCCCATGGGAGAAGCTTCAGGAAATCTGGCCACGGCTGAACCAAGACCCTGCCACACTGGACGCGGCCTCAGCCCCTGCATGTGTGTGCCCTGCGGGTGTGGGTGGGCGGTGGTATGGCAGCTCCCTTGGGTTGTATTTAATGATATCTCCATGGGTGGAGCTTCGTCTCCTCCCACGCTTAGCCCGCCCAGCACTCTGCGGCGGCCTCACCCTCTGAGCTGGCTGTGGGAGGTTTGCAGGTGGCTCAGGGACTGTGTGGTTTTGTTTTGCCTTGACTTAGGAGGGTAATTGGAGGCACATGCCACATGGCTGAGGGCCAGCCTCGGACCCAGAAGCAGATGTGAGGCTGAGAGCAGCCCACCCACCCCAGGAGAGTCTTCCCCTGGAGACCCAGAGGCGGGGGGTGCAGAGGCTGGGGTCAGCGTTTCCCCTGCTGCTGAGGACAGGCATTAAGGGAGCGGCTCAGCCATGTCATGAGTTGTGGGGACCATGCTGTCCGCCCCTCCCACGATATGTGGGCACCGTGGGGTGGATGTCCACAGAGGCGTCTCCCAAAATCCATGCATGAGGAAGCTGGGCTCTCTGGCTGCCCACCACCTGAGTTCTCTGGAACCCTTAAAAAGGACCCCCGGGGTAGGTTCGTGGATAAAGGAGGACAAACTCACCACTCCCAGAGCCCTCACATCCACAGACCCAGCAGGGAGGAGGCTCTGGAGGTGACCTGGTGACAGCACAGCGCGGCGAATGTCCCTGTGCCCCTGAACTATGCGCTTAAACATGGCCGATGGTGAATTTTCTCTACGTGTATTTTATTACAGTTTTTAAAAATACCAACCAGAAAGAAACACTTGCAAATGAGGCATAGACAGTGGCCTGCCCCAGCGTTCTCCAGCAAGCCCCCAGGATGTGCCTATGCCCCCAGCCGGCAGCCTGTGTGCAGCTGCGAGAAACGGGAGCACCCAGGTCTAGCTGGTCGAGAAGGTGGTACCTCCAGGGTTCGGGCCTCACTCAGCCTCCCCTTCTCTCCCACCTACCCCATACCCCTGCCCACGCCCCTGGGCAGGAGTTGAATGAGATCTGACAGCTGCTCACTCTGTTTTCACTAAGTTAAGCCTTTTTACCCTTGAGGATGAGGCATTTGGATTTGGGGGACCCTGGCTGTACCCCATGGAAGGAGCCCTGTGATCCCGCTGGGTTGTTTGTACCTGGGTGGGATGGGGTAAGAGGTTGTGTGAGTCAGGGGAGCGGGTCGGGTTGGGCTGAGGTTACGTTTATTGTCTTAGTGCTTTGCGTGAAGCTCGGCCGTCACTCGTGACCCTGCACTTGTGTCCCTCACGTCAGCTGGGCCTCCACGAAGTGGGGCGGGAAGGAGTCAGTGTTTCCTCACCATGTGGGCCTTGGGCTCCCCTGGGCCCCCACCCTCGGGGATGAATACCCCAGGCCACTGCAAGGCGGGGGGCACGAGCATCCCCTGTGGAGGCCGGGGGAGGGCTGAGCCTGACTCCTCCACCCCACCCAGTAGGCCCCGGCAACAGCTGGGTCGGACTTTCCACAGCCCCCGCCCTGGAATGGTTCTGCAACCTCCTGAGGCTCCGGAGGGGCTCATCAGGATGGAGTCACGCTGAACAGGGACCCACCTAGCGCCGGGACCCCATTTTCTCTGCCCTTCAAGTTTTCAACGTCATGTTTCAAATGCCTGAGAGGAGAAGAGTGAAGCCAGCACACGGTCCCTGCTCTTCCCCAGAAAAACGAGCAGACAGAAGCAGCTGAGCCCCCACTCCCTCCATCCCCTTCTTGTGCTCCTCCCATCACTTAGGGACCCTGTGGCCCCACCCGGGAGCATGAGACCTGCCTCCGTCCATGTCCCAGCCACCGCGTCCTGGCCCCGGGGTGCCACTCCACTGGTGCAGGTGGGAACGCGCTCAGCTCATCCTCTTTTCTCCATGAGGGGCCACCTCCAGCTTGTGTGCACTAGGCACAGCGCTGGGACCCAGGCCAGAGTCGTCTTAGATGCCAGGCGTCCCATCACACTGCTGACTGGCGATGTGATCAACAGCACACATGACACTGTGCAGCTCGGCGTTCTCATTTGTGGCTCTCCAGTGCTGCTCGTCTTCATGGGGCTGAGGTGTCCCCTCCTTCAGGAAGCTCCACGCTCCCCTGCCAGCCCGTCCATCCTGATGGCGAGCTTTGCAACAGGAACCTTGATGCCTGTGTGGCTGGGCCCGGGGCTCCCCACAAGCTGGGCATCCAGAGGCCAGCCCAGAGCCGCCTGCCAGCCAGACGGTGACCACACCCTTCCCCTGGGCACAGCCTGCTGGGGCATCCTGGGGCCCACAGCCTGAACAGAGGTCTGTTCACCGGGTTTCCAGACACAAGACAGGACCTCATTCAGTGTGAATTTCGGATACATGAGATCCCACAGAGGCTGGGGTTGGCGAAGCCCCCAAGCAGGGGTGGATCTTGCCTTCGGGGTGTGGGCCGTCCCACGACCGGCCTGGCTGCCACTAAAGGGACTCCATGGCTTCCCCGGGGCTAGGGTGTGGAGGTGCCAGGTGGGTCCCCTGAGCTTGGGTGCTGAAGGACCTGCCTGGGGCATCTCTGTCCACCATGTCCCTCCTGTGGCCCCTGCCTGGGAGCGCTTAACACATAGTGACCCTCCTGGAGTCAGGGGCTGCCCCTGCGGCCCTCCCTCCACAGTGACCTCCATCCTTCCTGGGATGCTGCTGGTCCCAGCCAGACCCTTGATGGACAGCGCTTAGTCTGCAATGCCTCAGCACCCTACGCCTTCCTGGCAAAGCCTGCTGGTCCCAGGGTCACCATCACCCACTTCATGGAGGGGAAAACTGAGCCCAGGGTGGATAGGTCTGCTCAGGTCCCCAGGAAATAAGCAGACCCAGGAGCCTCCAGCTCCCATTGCCCGTCTCTGAAGGAGAATGTGGGCTTCACCTCCCTGCTCCCGTCACGCTCCTGGAGGACCAAGGGTGGCCCCAGTGGCTTGGCTCAGATCTGGCACTGCAGGCCAACTCCCTCCAGGCACAACCGCCCAGGAGCAGGACCAGAGGAGAGTCTGCAGGAGCCCCAGGACCTGGTGGGTGCAGGGCTCACATGCTGAGGACATGCATCTGTGCCCGTTTCTGGCTGGATGAGGCCACCGCTGTCTCCCTGCAGCCCCAGCTGCAGGTGCTGGGGAGGAGCTGAGGGGCCCTGGGGGGAACTGGGTAGGTGAGGGCGCAGCTTCGGGAGTGGGAGAGCAGGCAGGGCCCCAGAGGCGCTCCTGGGGGCTGGCAGGGACTGAGCCACAGCAGCACCAGAGGGGTGGGGGTCCCACAGGGTCGGGTAGGGGGAGGCCTGGGTGTAGCTGGAGGCAGCTGCTGACCCTGTGGGGGTGGGGTGGGAGTCCTCAGGGCACCCCTAGAACAGTCTTAGCTGGGGGCTGAGAGGGGAGTGAGCGAGAGGACTCAGGGGCTGGGAGGGGAGTGGGTGGGAGGACTCGGGCTGGGAGGGGAGTGGTTGGGAGAACCTGGCAGCTGGGGGAACCCTTAGGGCCTGGACACCGCACACAGAACCTGGGCCTGCGGCCGCATGGTAAAAGCCCGGGCAGGCGTGGTGTCCAGGGAGGCTGGGTTGACTCCAGGCGGGGGCAGCAGGCGGTACCTCTGCAGGAGGCCAGCAAACAGCAGGAAGAGCTCAGTCCTGGCCAGGCGCTCTCCGACACAGACACGGCGGCCTGCAGAGGAAGTCAAGGTACAGAGTGGGCTAGCACCAGGCCTGCTCCTGGAGGGGAGGGGTGGGGACCTCCCCAGGGGAGTGGAGGAGCAGCCACAGCTGCCTTCAAAACCTGAAAGCAGGAGGTGGGTGCCAGAGTCAGCGGGCAGAGCTGAGGACGTCCCACCCCTGGAGCCAGGGAGGTCCCGCCCCACCCCGGCCGTGAGGGCTGCAGACCTGCAGAGAATGGCAAGAAGGCCTCCCGCTTCACAAAGTGCCCATCTGCATCCAGGAAGTGGCCCGGGTTAAACTGGCCCGGGGTCTGCCACTGTGTCTCATCCAGGAGCACCGAGGTCAGCAGGGGAATCACGGGTGTGCCCTGCGGGGGCAGCCGGGCAGAGAGGGAGAGAGGGGCCCCAGGGAAGATGGGATGGGACCGGGATTGGGAAGTTTCATTCCAGGCTGCCACACCCACCACACCTGGTGTTAGCCCACCTCGCAGGTAGGGTACCTGAACCCAGGGAAGCCAAGTGACCCCAGGGCACACAGCCAGGGGCTCTGAGGATAGAGAGGACCCCCCAGGACACACAGAGGGGACCCCCAAGACACACGGAGAGGGACCCTGCCAGGACACACACAGAGAGGAGCCCCCCCAGGGTACACGGAGGGGACCCCGCCCCAGGGCATGCAGGGAGGTGCCAAGTCTGCTTGTCAGAGCCCCAAATCCCAGGCTGTGGGGTGAGGGCTGCCTCCCTCCTGCTCCTGGCTGGACACTCTTTCCTGCCTCCGGTCAGGGAGCCCTGGGCCATCAGGCACCCACTGGAGGCTCAGCCATCCCAGTGCCCCTGAACCCCTGCCGAGGCCTACCCCAAATGAGGTGGAAGGGAGAGGGAGGCCTGGCCCCACCTTGGGAAGCAGGAAGCCGCCCAGCTTCGTGTCAGCAGTGGTGCAGCGGGGCACATGCGGCAGGAGCGTGATGAAGCGCTGGACCTCGTGGAGCACGGCGCTGGTGTAGGGCAGCTCCTGCTGGTCCTCCGGCCGGGGAGGCCGCCCAGGGCCCAGCACACGGTCCAGCTCCTCCTGCACCCGGCCTGGGGCAAGGGGTGGGCCGGGTCAGTGGGAGCGCCATCCCTCAGCCCTGGGGGGTCCCCGGGGGCAGAAGGAGCTGTCCTGCCAGGCACCAGGGTCTCACCCTGCACATCCAGGTGCTGGCCCATCAGAAGTGCAGCCCACTGCAGTGTGGCCGAGGTCGTCTCCGTCCCGGCCATGACCATGTCCAGGATGCAGGCCACTGCGTTGGGCTCAGCAAACAGGCTCTCAGGGTCATCCCCCTGCAGAGGCGTGGGGCAGGACTCGGGGGGAGGATCTGGGGTCTGTCCCCCACCCCACAGACCCAGCCCAGCCCTGGGCTCAAGAAAGGGGCAGAGGGCAGGCCTGGCTGGAAGGACCAGGAGCTGGTGCCTGCTATGATCTGGGCTCAACCTTCCCCAAGGCAGGCACCATGGCTATTTCACAGATGAGGAGACTGAGGCTCTGAGGGGCCCCCATCCAGTAGGTGGGGGAGCTTGGTGCAGGAGCAGGATGGACCCCTCCCTAGCCCTGCTCCCCTGGGTGGGCCCTCAGGACTTCCACAAGACTGGGAAGGAAATTGGCCCCCCGCGCACCTGTCCCTGCTGGATCAGGGCGTCCACATAGCTGCGCACAGGGTCCCCCCGGCGCACGTGGGGCCGCCGCGCCTCCAGGAGGGTCCTCAGAATGGCTTGGACCTCCTCTATCTTGCATAGGACGGGCCGGTGCAGCTGGAGCAGGGCCCCAAGCCAGGGGTAGATGTTGAAGAGCTGGGCAGGAGGCAGGGGGAATGGAGGTAAGGGTGCAGCCTCAGGGCAGGGGGTAATAGTCCTCAGCAGCTGTGTTCACACCCAGGGACTCTGGGCAGAGGTGCTGGAGGTGGAGACTCACAGAACAAGGACCCTTTGCCCTCGAGGGAAGACCAGGGACTCCCAGGAAATTCTCCATCCGTGCCCTGGAAAGGGACAGCCAGGTGGGTTTGCACAACAGGGTCTCCTTCCATCCTGGAAAGGGAGGGAGGCGACTGCTGCCGTGGAAATAACCTTGAACCTCCTGTGAGTCATGGAATGGGAGACAGTGCAGAGCCCAGCGCTCAGAGAGTCGGGGCTGCCCTGGAGTCGGCTGTGTCTGAGAGGTGAGCCTAGCACCAGCCGGTGCTTCGTGACTGCCTGTGGCCGCCCCACCATGCCTCGTGCTGCTTGCCTTCCTGGGGCATCCATGATCACCAGTAGTGAGTTGCATGTGGCGCCTCTTGGTAATGAGCTGGCGCAGGCAGGGAAGGCCAGGGAACGCTCTGCTGCTGGGGGCTGCCCCCCGGACCGCACCGTGCCATGCAGCCTCCATCGTCCAGGTGGGCTCTGGGCCCGCCTGGCTCCACCAGCAGGCACGGTGGTCTCACCCTGGCAAGGATGGGTGGAAGCTGCGCTCCCTGATCTCTGCCTTGTGAACCCACTGCTGCCCTCACTCCCATCACGGCCCTGCCACCAGGAAGCCAGGAGGACCATGATCCATGGCCTCTTGGGTCCAGCCTTGATGTGCATATCGCACCTGAGATGCAGGCTTCGGTAAATGCACACCAAGTATGGTGAGGACCAAAAAGAGGGAAACTTTGCATTTTGAAGAAAGTGAGACACATGTGAGTTCTGAACATCGGAAGGATCAACTTTCATGGTTCTGGGGCACTGGAAAGGACGTCGGCTGGAAGGTGCCTGGACCATCAGAGCCAGGGGGACATGGACCCCAGCAATCCTGAGTAAGCCATGCCTGCCTCCACCCCCACCCTTCAGCAGCTGCATCTATTACTGATGAGGGCATGTGGGGAGATCGGGATCCCCCATTTCCTGGAGAGCACAAGGGCTGGTCTGAGGCCACACGACCAGCTAATGTCAGATGGGTCCTGATTCAGGCCCTTGAGTCTGATTCCTTGAGAGGGACAGTGCTGGGACCCCTGTCCTGCCCCTGCACGCCCAGCACCCCGGGTTCAACCCCACCCTAAGAACAGGAGGCAGCCCCTCACCTGCAGGCCGGGGGACCCCAAGAGGACCATGACCTCATCGATGAGACCCAGGAGGGACACGAACACAGGGTCCCGGTAGTCGAACCGGCGGCCAAAGAGGAGCGTGAAGATGATGTTGGAGGGAGCCCAGCCTAGCAGGGCCAGCGGGAAGGGCCGGCCTTCGAGAGGAGACAAGCCTCAGGTGCGTTGAGGCCCTGGGCAAGGGCATCCCCGGCCCCCCAACTCACCTTCGTAGCCATCCAGCTGCTCTGAGAGGCATTTCAGCTCCTGCAGAATCTTGTCAGCCATCAGCTCCCGGCCCACGCCCAGGCTGTGCAGAGCACGCACAGTGAAGTGGCGGGCAGCCCTCCAGTGTGCCCCGGATGAGAAGAAGATGCCTGTGGGCAGGCGTGGCGCCCATGTCTTCACCCCAGCCAGCCCCGCCACGTGACTGGGCAGGAAGTGAGCAGGCCAACCCGGAGGCAGTGGGACTGGCTGGGACCTCACCCCCATCCCCACTCCTGTCCCCCTGGGTTGGCCCCTGGCCCCTCCTGACTTGGGATGAAAAAAAAGATCCACGCTTGCTGGTCCTGAGCACCTGACCTGCCATGTGGACACCTGGCCCTCCCCAGCACCAGCTCGGAGACCTGGCTCCTGCCTGCTCTTCCCCAGCCCCTCTGGGGAGCCTCTCCCCCTGCTGGAGCCCCCACCCCTCCTCGGATCCAGTGTCCCCACACCCAGCAGGTCCCTGCAGCGCCAGCTGGCCGCACACCTACCTCCACCTCGCTGGATGAGCTGGAAGATGGCGATGGGAGGCCGGTCAGCCAGCTCCTGCCCTGGGCCCGCCAGCGCCTCCTTGACTGCCTCAAACCCCGTCAGTACCACCGTCTTCTGGCGCCCCAGGTGCACGGTGAACACCGGCCCGTAGCGTTCTGAGAGCTGGCAGGGATGGCAGGGGTCACCTAGGCAGCCCTCACGCACAAGGTCCCCCTTGGGGCCCCTTGGGCTGGGCCTGTACTGGGTAGGGGTGGGGACAGAGGGGGAAATGGGGGCAGGTGGAGGGGGCGCTTAGATGCCATAAAGTGGGCTGTGCAGGGGGCAGGGCAGCATCCAGAACCCCCTCGCCATCCGGTGCGTGGCATGGCTGTTGTGGTCTTCTCTTTTTAGCCAAAATTCCTTTGAGCCCCGAGTCCAGGCAGCAGGGTGGGGAGCTGTCTGCTGGAGTGATGCGTTCTGAAAGGCCAGAGTCTGCACGGAGTGAGGGCCTGACAACGCGGCTCCCAGCGACCCTGACCCCTCCTTGGCTGCAGCCCGGCCAGGAGCATCCAGTTTGCAGTCGGGGGCAGCCAGAGACAGGGCCCAGGTGTGATTGTGAGTCCTGTCCCATTGACCCTGCCCGCCTGAGTGAGGACAGGATGACAGTGCCGGTCAGAGTGCCCCGTGCCAGGCCCAGAAGGTCATGCAGGAGGCCAGAGTGCCCACCCGTGCCCTCTGTCCTAAGCATCCCTGCCCCAGGAGGCACCAGCCATCCTCTTCCCATTTCACAGATGAGGAAATGGAGGCTGGGAAGTGGGAGGTGTTTGCTGTTGAACACCTGAGGGTAGAGGGGGCTCCACCCTGGGCCTGTGGCTGCCTGCTCAGCCCCCAGCACAGCCAGATGGGTGGTAGCCTCTGGGGCCCCAGTACTGGGTGAGGCCCAGGCCACCTTGTGGATCATGGGCAGCTCCAGTGAGGGTCCACCTCCACCCACCAGGTCCCCTGGGTCCCCTGAAGGCCTGGCCTGTGCTGGGCAGGAGTAGGGTAAGGCAGGGAGGGTCTGGGGGAGGTCACCTGGCAGGAGCCCCTGGGGGGGCAGGGCTAGGGAGGGATGGCCAGTCCCTGTTGAGGGCCTCAGAGGCTGAGCACAAAGGACTGCTTTGAGGGGTGGTGGCAGGGTGCCTGTCGGTCAGGCAGCAGGGCTGGCCACCTCTATGGGGCAGGGCAGGACAGAGGCAGCCAGCTCCTGGCTGTGGGGAAGGGTAGCCTGCCCTCAATGTGGGGGCCAAGGCCGGTCCCACCTCCAGCCCAGGAAGGAAGGGGCCACACTTGAGAGGCTCCCACCTGCCCGAGCCATCTCTGTGTGCAGTCCAGGTCCTGGTCTCAGACCATTTCCAGAGCCCCTGCCCTCCTTCCCTCTGCTGTCCCTCAGCCTGGCCTCCTGCAGGTTCTCAGCAGTCACCACCTCCTCCAGGGAGCCCTCCAGACTCCTGCTTCTAATCCCAGACCCTGGGCAGCACCTCCAGGGCTGCTTCCTAGGGTGTCTGCTTCCCTGTGGGATAGGGCGGCTTTCCCTTCCCAAAGGCAGGGTGGGCACTCAGGCCTCCTGCATCCCCTACTGGGCCTGGCACCATGTGGGCGTGGACAGCGGAAATGGGGCTTTGCTGCCCCAGAGGTGGGGTGAAGACACAGGTCCGCCCAGGTGGTGAGAGCTGCCAGGTTCTCTGACCTACCTCCATCAGGGACTGGTCCTGTTGCGACAGACGCAGCAAGTGTAGGTTCCCGATGAGTGGCAGTGGGCGAGGCCCCGGGGGCCACCGTGGGGCTGGGGAGGGGTCTTGGGCCCAGGCTTGGAGCAGCCCCCAGAGCCCCAGGAGGCCCAGAAGCAGCAGGATCAGCAGAGCCATGAGGACGTGGCTGGTGAGGCCCTGCTCCCCTCCAGGGCCTCATCCCCCCCGCGCCCTTATAGGCCTCCCTGGGAAGGCGTGCTGCACCCCACCCTCCCCACCACCCCTCATAGGCCTCCCCTGGAAGGCGTGCCCACACCTCACCCACCCTCCCTATCACCTCGAGAATGTGGAGCGAGCAGTTCGCAGGGCAGCCCCAGCAGACGGCTTGAAGCTGCAGGCCTTCATGGAATGTGGGGCTGAGGCCCTGCTGGGGCCAGGAAGGGGAGGGCAGGACTGGGGGCTCTCTGGGGTCTGGCATCCATGTCCTCTGTCCAGGGAGAAGGACACAGCATGTTGACTGTTCTGTCCCTGGTTCTGGGGGACCCATCAGTCCAGGCCCCTCAGCCCAAGCCACCCCTCAGAACTGGGATTCACAGGGCATTGGGGCCCAGGCCCCAGCTTGAAGGGGAGCGCCATGCTTTCTCAGGCTCTGAGCAGGGCCCCTGTGGAGCTCGGGGTGTGCAGGCCTCTCCCAAAGCCTATCCATGTGCACCCAGCTCCTCCCTGATCAGCTCCCCACGGAGCAAGGGACAGGAGTGAGACCTCGGGGCAGTCCATGCGGGGCCTCAAATCCCACAGCCCTCACAGGCTGTCAGCTGCATTCCCTGAGGGTGCTCTCACCCCAGCGGCAGCTGCTCCCGGTGGCTGTTTGAGGGCTGCTGCCAGGCAGGGGATGCAGCAGTCTGAGCTGGGACAGGAAAGTGGAAGGGCTGCCACGTGGCAGGTGGTGCGGTTGTCGATCCCCGTCCACCTGTCCTAAACCTTTGCGAGGGGCCGGAAGTCCGCTGGCTGGCAACTAGCAAAGCTTACTTAATTAATTCGGGGAATGCAGTGCTGTGATCACGGCTCACTGCAGCCTCTACCTTGTGGGCTCAAGCCGTCCTCCCACCTCAGCCTCCCAAATAGCTGGGACTACAGGCACACACCACCAAACCCAGCTAACTTTATTATTTATTTACTGTATTTATTTTTGTAGAGATGAGGTCTCACTATGTTGCTCAGGTTGGTCTCAAACTCCTGGGTTCAAGCAATCCTCCTGCCTTGACCTCCTAAAGTGTTGGGATTATAGGTGTGAGCCACTGCACCTGGCCTAATTTTTCAAGTTTCTTGTAGAGACAGAGTCTAGAGGCTGGCCTTGAACTCCTCCTGGGCTCAAGTGATCCTCCTGTTGCAGCCTCCCAAAGCACTGGGGTTACTGGCGTGAGCCACCACCGGGCCAGCCTCTTTTTTTCTTTTTCTTTTTTCTTTTTTTTGAGACAGAGTCTCGCTTTTGTCGTCCAGGCTGGAGTACAGTGGTGTGATCTTGGCTCACTGCAACCTCTATCTCCTGGGTTCAAGTGATTCTCCTGCCTCATCCTCCCAAGTAGCTGGGATTACAGGTGCCTGCCACCACGCCTGGCTAAGTTTTGTATTTTTAATAGAAACGGGGTTTCACCATGTTGGCCAGGCTGGTCTTGAACTCCTGACCTCAAGTGATCCACCCGCCTTGGCCTTTCAAAGTGCTGGGATTACAGGCATGAGCCACCGTGCCCGGCCATGTAATTTTTCTTGCGTGGACTCCTTGAATCTGAGTGGGCACTTGTGACCATGGTGGAGGCTGGATCACACCCAGTGATGCAGCTTCCTCCGGTTTCCCGGGGCACCTGTGCTAGGGACCCAGCCACCATGCTGTGGGGAAGCCCGTTAGATTGTAGAGGGGCCTATGTGGAGGGGAACCCAAACCCACGGAACAATGGCCAGGCTCCCACCTGACCCTGAGCCCACCTGCCAGCCACATGCACCACCATGAGTAGATCCTCCAGTCCGAAGTGGAGCAAACCCAGTCGAGGCCTCATGGAGCGTCTCCACCAAGGCCTGCCCAAGTGCGAGTTCATGGGTAATGACTGCTGCTCAGTATGGGGTGCTTTGTTACGCAGTGGCAGAAAATGCAAACACAGCCACATACGCCTCAGCGATGGATGGGACCCCTGTGAGTCAGATGAGGCAAATAATACCTGCTTAACTGTGCTCATTCATTCACAAACCATAACAGAGCACTCCCAGCATCCCAGGCACTGTTCGAGGCTCTAGGGATCCCGGGTGGAAAATGTTGAGCAATACCTTGATGACTGGGTCTCAAGCAAGCTCTGTTCCTTCCTCTGAGCTTTTCCTTTTCCTTTTTCTTTCTTTCTTTTTTTTTTTTTTTTGTAGACGGGGTCTCACTTTTTTGCCCAGGCTTCAGTGCAGTGGCACAATCTCGGCTCACTGTGTCCTCAACCACCAGGGCTTAGATGATCCTCCCACCTCAGTCTCCCAGGTAGCTGAGACTACAGGTGTGTGCCACTACACCCGGCTAATTTTTGTGTTTTTTTATAGAGACAGGGTTTTGTTGAAACACGGGAGCTTTGAATGAAGAGACCTTCCAAATAGGCTTTGTGTGAGCAACATGGCTGTTTATTCACCGGGGTGCAGGTGGGCTAAGGGCGTTAGCAAAGGGCAATGAGATAGGAGTTGGTTTTATAGGTTTGGGTAGTTTTTTGGGGGGCAGGGGTGTTGCAGAGTAAGTTCAGTTACAGTGATGAGGTTGGGTGAGAGGTATTTACATTATCATAAGAACAGTTAAGATGGCAGTTTGGGTTGAGGGGCTTGTCAGGGGAAGCTCCGCCAGGGACAATGACGAATGCAGGCAGAGGGTGGGAGACTTTAGCAGAGGCAAGCGGGACTTCAGACTTTCAGGATCCAGGCTTTCTTATAGAGAACTGACAGGTTTCAGCATGTTGCCAAGGCTGATCTCAAACTCCTGTGCTCAAGTGATCCACCCACCTCGGCTTCCCAGAGTGCTGGGATTACAGGCATGAGCCACCGCCCTGGCCCCTTCCCCACTTTTTTACCCAGGAACTGCCCATAAAAATTCCTTCTTCTCTCCCAGCTAAAGATCTCATATAAAGCAATAATCATTTGCCAGGTGACAATCAATTAAAAGCTGGCTGTCACCTCCAGAGGCCACAGGTCTCTTGGGGCTCCCAGACAGAGAGGCTTAGGGCAGCCCCAAGGGAGGGGCTGTCCTTCCACTGCTAAGCGGCTGCTCCAGTCCAGTGAGTGAGCGCCCTTTGCTGGGTAATAAAAGCTCCCATTGTTTACATCCCTGGAAGCATATTAATGAGTAACCCTGTAGTAGGTGGGCCCCTGGTTCTAGCCCTGTAAAATAGTTGTTTATATGACAGGAACAAGGTGTAATTTTCCTTCTGTAGTTTTAAGTGGGCCCAGAGCCCCAGGCCGGTCAAGGCCCTGATATTGGGTTCCTGCAGCCCCAGGCCCTCTCTTTTGTTTTTTGTTTTTGTTTTTTTTTTGTTTGTTTGTTTTAAAGATGGGGTTTCACCGTGTTGGTCAGGCTGGTCTTGAACTCCCGACCTCAGGTGATCCGCCCGCCCTGGCCTCCAAAGTGCTTGGATTACAGGTGTGAGCCACCATGCCCGGCACTCAGGCCCTCTCTTGGGGCCTCCGAAGTGAGGTTCCCACTGCCCTGTGGTCCAGAAACATTGAGGGTCACACAGAGCACAGTCCAACCTCCGAGAAGAATCTAACAGAGGTCTTGCAGAGGGGCAGGCTCATCAGGGCCCAGCGAGGGAGGGGGAGAGCTGGAAGCCTCAGTGGGAGGGGGCGCCTGGGCCAGGCTTGAAGAAGGGCAGGCCCTGCAGTGGGGGCTGTTTGGCCGCCTTGACCAAGCCCTTGTCTGCAAGCAACCCCTGGGAAGTGGCAGGAATTGGCTCCTAAGCAACAGTGGTTTCGGGCCATACCAGGGTCCAGAGAGAGCCAGGCTGCGAACTCAGCATTGCTGGGGACCCGCTGTGCTTAATCTCAGGGCCTGGCATGTGGCAGCCATTGTGAAATGGGTAGGATGAATGAGTGGGTAGAGGGTGGAGGCTGAAGCTTCGGCAGCCTATGGTGCTCTGGAAGGGCCAGTGATTCACTTCCTCCAGGGCCAGGTCAGGTGGGTACAGGTTCAGGGCTGCGGGAGACTCTGCGGGCAGGAACTGGGGTCTCCACTGAGCCCTTTCCCTCCACTGCTGTTGCCAGGACAACATCGACAGGCAAATGCTGGGCTCTGCCACTTACAATACACTTTCATTCTGTAGTCTTAGCCCCTAGGACCTTAGAATGCTTTGGAAATTGGTGCGGGATACCGTGGCTCACGCCTATAATCCCAGCCTTTTGGGAGGCTGAGGCGGACAGATCACTTAAGGTTGGGAGTTGGAGACCAGCCTGGGCAACATGGTAAAACCCTGTTTCTACTAAAAATACAAAAATTAGCCAGGTGTGGTGGTGCACACATGTAATCCCAGCTACTTGGGAGGTTGACGCAGGAGAATCGCTTGAATCTGGGAGGTGGAGTTTGCAGTGAGCAGAGATTGAGCCACTGCACTCCAGCCTGGGCAACAAGAGAGAGACTCTGTCTTTAAAAATAAACCAAAACAAAGAAATAGGGTTGCTGCTGATGTAATTAGTTAAGATGAAGTTATTGGGATGGGCCTTAACCCAACATGACTGCTATCCTTATAAAAAGAGAAAATTTGGGTTAGGCATGGTGGCTCACACCTGTAATCCAGGCACTTTGGGAGGCTGAAGCGGGAGGACTGCCTGAGCTCAGGAGTTAAGGACCAGCCTGGGCAACATAGAGAGGCTCCATCTATACAAAAAATACAAAAATTAGCCTGGTGTGGTGATGCATGCCTATAGTCCCAGCTACTCAGGAGGCTGGGGCAGGAGGACCGCTGAGCCAAGGAGGTTGAGGCTGCAGCGAGTCACGATCATGCCACTGCACTCCAGCCTGGGCAACAGAGCAAGATCCTGTCTCGAACAAATTTTTAAAAAATAGGAAATTTGGACACGTGGAGGACACCATGAGAACGCAGGGGCTGAGACCAGGTGGTGCTTCTGCAAGCCAAAGAACATCAGTGGCCAGTGGCCCCCAGAAGCTAGGAGGCAGGCCTGGGACCATCCCCAGGGCCCCTACTCTGCCCACCGCTTGGACTCTGGCCCCGGGACTGAGCACAGTCCT